TACATGATTTTTACTTTTATACTTTTTTGGTTGTTTAAATTATTTTATACTTATCATAAGATCTTAGATCCAGAAATGAAAGTGAGTTCAGAGGAAATATGACACAACTTCTCAATTTTTCAGATGAGGAAAGTGGGACTCAGGATGATAAGTGCCTTATTCAAGGTCACATAGATAGCAAGTACAAAAGATAGAATTTGAACTCATGTCCTCGCAATCCCAGAGCCAGTGCTCATTCCACTGTGCTACACCTACTCTCTTCCTATAGTATCAACACAGTCCTAAGCATAGAGTATGTGCTTAGTAAAGCATGCTTAATGACATATTTGTTGACTTGAGCCAAGCCTTAGGTAGTTCTGCTCAGTGCTAGTTTCTTGAAATCAGTCAGTCAATAAACATTTAATAAGTTCCTACTATGTACCAGAAATTATGCTAAGCACTGAGGATACAAAGAAAGGCAAAGGCAGTCCCTGATCTCAAGGAGCTGACAATCTAGTGCGGGAGACAAGATGTGAACAATTATGTACAATTGTATACAAACAAGATATGGATATATGCAATAAATAGGAAATAACCAAGAGAGGGAAGGTGCTAGTATTAAAAGGGATTGGGAAAGACTTCCTGTAGAAGGTAGGATTTTAGTGGGGAATCGAAAGCAGCCAGAGAAACTAGGAGGCAGAGATGAGGAAAGAGAACATTTTAGGCATGGGGAGAGCCAGAGAAAAGGCTTGGAACCTAGAGATGGAACATCTGTTCAGGGAACATCAAGGAGACCAGTGTCTCTGAACTGAAGAGTATGTTGGCGGGCAAGGAGTGAGGTGTATAGCATAAGAAGACTGCAAAAGAGGGAGGCGAGGTTATAAAGATTTTGGAATGCAAAACTGAAGATTTTGTATTTGACCCTGGAGGTGATAGGGAGCCACCAAAGTTTACTGAGTAGGGCAGTGAGATGGACCTATGCTTTTCAAGGCAAATCACTTTGTAGTCTAAGTGGAAAATGGACTGGAGTGGGGAGAGACTTGTGACAGGCACACCAACCAGCAAGCTATTGTAATAGTCCAGGCATGAGGAGATAAGGGCATTATCTACATTTTCTATAGTATCTATATATAATTCTAGGGTGGTATCAGAGGAGGGAAGGTGTATTTGACAGATGTTGCAGAGGTCAAATCTCTATACTTCACTAAAATAGGAATAAAGTATTATATTAGTTTATATCTCATCAGCATTGTTTGTTGCCTATGGTAGATGCTTACTAAATGTTTATTAAATAATTGAATGAATCTTTAACATTTGGACCTTAGTTCTATTAGGGCACAAGACTGTTGGTGCACGGTGACTAGGTCAGCATGCTAGAATAGTTCAGCTTGCAATGTCTAAGGTCATCTTGTAAAAATGTCTCCAATTGCCCATGTCCTTTTGGCAGTCCTATTAATACCCTCTACTCCTTTTTTTTACATTAAACCTAAAATTTCTTCTCTTTAACTTCCATCGTGTCTACCCTCTGGAGCTAAGCAGAACACATCTAGTACTCTTTCACATAACAACCTTTCAAATACTTGAAAATAACTATCGTTCCCTCTTGCCCCCCCCCACACACACCCCAGTCTTTTCTTGTATGACTTAAATGGCCCCTGTTCCTTCAACTACTCTTCATGTAGCATAATCCCAAGGCCCTCTACTATCATGGTTATCCTCTTCTGGACACTCTCCACCTTATTAATGGCCTCCTAAAATGCACTGACCAGGATAGAACACAAGGTGGTCTGTTCAAGGCATAGCATAGCATAACAGGACCATCACCTCCCGAATCCTGGACACTATGGGTCTGTAATTGCATGCTGAAATTGCAGTAGCTTTTAAAATTTGAATTATTATTATGATATGTTGATTTATATTGAGTTTGCAGTTTACTATCCCTCCTGCTCAGTCCTTAAAAACCAAACAGAAAATAATAGCTGCTGTTTGTTCCTGCCTTTTCCCATTTTTGGAGCTGGATTTTTTTTTTTAGTCTAAGGATAATCATCTCTAGTGGAATAAGATCTGGTTTTAGAGAAAGGAAGACTCAGTTCAAGTCCTGTCTCTGACAAAAGGTCCCAATACCTGTGAGATCATGGTCAAGTCATTTAAACTTTTAGTGTCCTAGGTAAAGCTCCAAGACCAGAACTTATACACGTGTTGTCAGTTGGTATTGGTGGAAGGACTGAGTTTCCTGTACTGATGAAATCACAGAAGTGGACCAAAAAAAAAAAAAAGGATGAACAAGATACTGTGTGTCTGGAGATACAAAGACAAAATGAAAAACAGTCCTTGGCTTCAAAGAGCTTATATTTCATTGAGAGGATACAATATGTAAATAAATAAGAATGGTATGGTTATTTGAGGAAAGAAGAGAGTGCCTTAACTGGGAGGATCAGGAAAGGCTTCCTTTTGGAGGTGACTTAGAAGCTGAGTCTGAGAAGGAAGTCATAGGTTCTGAGGCAAAGGTGTGATAGGAAGTGATTACAATCATGTGAGATAAGGTGTGGAAGTGGGAGATCAATTACCAAGAAAGGGGAAAAGTAAACAGGCCATTTTGGCTGAAATATGAAATATATAGAAGGGAATAATATTTTTTTTTGGTGAGGCAATTGGGTCTAAGTGACTTGTCCAGAGTCACACAACTAGTGAATGTTATGTGGCTGAGGCCAGATTTGAACTCAGGTCCTCCTGACTCCAGGGCTGGTGCTCTATTCACTGTGCCACCTAGCTGCCCCAGAGGGGAGTAATTTTAAATAATCCTGGAAAGGAAGGCTGGTGCCAGACTAAGAAAGGCCTTGAATGTACTTCAACAGTCAGATTTATTGTTTAAGAAGATTATTTTGGGGGCAAAGATTGAATATAGAGACAAGAGAGTATAAACTAGGGGTCCAAGTAAGAGGTCTAAGTGAAAGGTGATGAAAGCTTGAACTAGGCGACAGCCAAGAGAGGATGAATGAGACATATGTCGTGAAGGTAAAATTGACAAGACTTGGAAACTGATTAAATGTGAGGAAAGAGGCAAAGGGAAGTGTCAAGGATGATGCCAAAGTTGCAAAGTTTAGGGCTCTTAGGATCATAAATTTAAATCTGGAACAGACCCTTGAGTAATCTCCAGTATCTTTATTTTACAGATGAGGAAACAGATCTAAAGATGTAAGTTTACATATGGTATGGCTAAGTATACCCAGGCACATGCCAATGCCTCAAAATAAAACTGATGTTTTGTGCCTCATTTTTTTGAATTCATATTTTAAAGTAGTTCAGTGGTTAATTTTTTAAAAAATTAAGTTGAAAAGTTTTCATTTCTTTAGTTTGGTTTGATTGAGTATTCAACAACTGTTCAGCTTAAAGAAATGAAAAAAGAAAGTCCTTGCACGCATACCCTAATGAAGCATGCTATGCGTGGTTTCATCTATCGAGGTAAAGGATCTTGCTGAAGGTCTCACAGAAAGTAAATGGCAGAGCTGGCGTTTGAACAGATTTTCTCTGATTCCAAATCCTACACTCTTTCCATGACTTGACAATGTCTTCCTTTTAACTTGTCAGTATTTTCAGATCCCGATTGTGTCTTCCTCTGTGCTTGCAATCCCTCTCAGCTTTGTGTCATCTGCAAATCTGACCGACATGCCATTTGTGGTTTTGTCCAACTCACTGATACATACATACATCCAACTACAATATTATCCTCTATGGGGCATAAAGAAGTGAAAATCTCACAAGAAAAAGGAATGACTAGATTATGATTGGCACACTCACATCGATGAGATTATATATCCACTGAAATATATATAGCCTTGTTGTAGTCGTTCAAGTTGTTTTAGTCATGTCCAACTCTTCATGACCCCACTTAGGGCTTTCTTGGAAAAGATGCTGGAGTGGTTTGCCATTTCCTTTTCCAGGTCATTTTACAGATGAGGAACTGAGGCAAACAGGGTTAAGTGACTTGCCCAGGGTCACACAGCTAGTAGATGTCTGAGGCCAGATTTGAACTCAGGAAGGTAAGTCTTCTTGCCTCTAGGGCTAGCAATCTATTCACTGCACCACCTAGCTGCCCCATACATAGGGCTTAACGAAAGGTAAATAACAGATGATGAACTGTTTTCATCATAACAACTCATGAAATCATCTATTGGGGGTTGCAATCTGTATGGGTGGAGGGAATACTCACATCATTTCAATCAAGGAACTTTAGAGAGATTAGAATAAAGCACATAGAGCCACTCAGTTTTAGTGATAATTCCTAACATTGTAAAACCAGTGTTGCCTTTGCCTAATTTCATGACCTGAAGTGAATGAAATTCTTATTTAAGTAGTTGGACTAAAAAGTGCAATACCACTTTTCTGGGTAGGTTTCCAAGTGGCTGACTCTTTCTATAAGCTTCTCTCTACAATACCCCAAGCAACTGAACCCAACCTGAGCAAAGTATCCCAGGAATTATTCATTTGTTGAGTGCCTTTCTGAAAGCAGTTAAATCCTGTGGACCAGAATTACTTCATACTTCCCAGTTTTAACCCAGAGAGGGAATGATACTCAGATGGGACAGAATGCATGTGCTATGACAGCAAAATTGATATTGGCCAGACTGGTTTTGTTTGTTTTTGTCGATTTATTAAAGAGGTTTTTCATTTGAGTGCCCATGAGGACGTGTAGAACTTGGGAATATGAACATTTCTTCCACTTATGGTCCCCCAAGGAGCTACCAACTTTGGATATTTAGATTTTATCAAAATGTTAAAACCAAAGCTCACCAACTTACAAGTGATAACTGGAGTTTATGCCAAGAAAGCCCAGCACCCAGTAGCAACCTTGCTCATGTCCTTTATAGGAATATTAATTACAGTTGACTTTCTAATAACAACATATTTCTCCCCTCACCTGTGTACCACAGAGGTCTAAAATAACTATGAAGTTGCAAAGGGAAGTTAGTTTGTAAGGGAACTTTGTCAGTTTCTATTCCCTTTTTCTTTTTCCCTTCTAGACCCTGACCGCACCTGCCCCATTTGCAGATGAAACCAGCTGCCAGTGCCAAGCCCCCCATGAAAAATTGACCATTGCTCAGGCCCGCTTGGGAACACCAGGTGAGGCCACACTTCATCTTATTCACAGAACGTTGGCTGCCTTGAAAGACACCAGGGCCAAACAAAGGAAAACAGGGAAGGCATTTCATTATCTGAGTCATACCCTTAGGATTTCTAGTTGATGCTCCAAGGCCAAAGTGCAAAAGAATAGCAATGATAAGAACACATAAGACAAATTCTCAATAATCAACATGTAATGTATGATTTTGGACAAGTCACTTAATCTCTCAGTTTCCTCATGTATAGAAGTGTTCCTTTCCAGCTCCTAAATATATCATTCTAAAATCAATTAAGTGAATAGTAAGGAAATGAGCTAAAATGAAAAACAATTAAATAACAGTAAAACAGATGATTGATTGCCAAAATGAATGATATAGGCAGGAAGTCCTAGAGAAATTCAGAAAATGGAGAGGTCAGTGTGGCCTTGGTGTGGTTAGCAAATGCAGGTTGTAAATTGACCTTTGAAGGACAAGTAAGATTTGAATAGACAGAGACAATAGGGAAGACATTTCAGATGATGGGAATAGTATCAGGAAATTGTGACTGAAGTAAGAATGAATGTGGCATGTGTCAGGTAGAGTAAGGCAACCAGCCTGTCTAAAGTTGAGCCCCAATGGTTTGAGAAGTTCTCATGGTTGGATAGCAATGGGAAAGAAGTTTAGATAGCCATTTGTTTTGAAACCTTGTTCACCCATTAATGTTAGTAGGCAAAGGATGACATAGATCAACTATTCCCACAGGATACTGCAAACAAACAAACAAAAACCCTCGCTGTAGTTAATGGGATGAATGATGTTTAACTAAACACCAATGAGGCAATATCTGATTTTTATGAAAGAGTATAAGTAAATTATCAGAAGCATCAGAAACAAAAATTTAGACTATAGCACCAAAAAAATACAACCCTCCTTCTGTCAAAAACAAATAATATTTACAGTCTGTTTCAAATCAAAGGGATTAGACTACAATTAAGTTTTAGAGGTTTTAACAGTTATGCTGCTTTTATTTTGGGGAAGAAACAGTGATGAAAAGATGAACATGTGGAGGGTACAACACTGAGCTGGAAAGGGATTCTAGAACTCATCTAACTCCCTTTTCCAAGCACAAAGCCTGTGGGAGTATAGAACCAAAGATTAGTTGAATCTCAATTAAAAAAAAACTTTCCTTAAGAAGGTGAAGAGGGCATATATATGGCATTTAATGAAATATATTACACATGGACTTTCAGTGAAATTTGCAACTCAACCTGAACATGTAATTCTATTTTTAAAATATCTGTAAAGAATTGTACAGCCTCCCAGTTGGTCTCCCTACTTCAAGGGAGACCATTGTAATCCATCCTTCATCCAGCTGCCAAAATGATTTTCCTAAAAGGCAGGTTTAACCAAGTCACTCCCCACCCTCAAAATTCCAGTGGCTTCCTATTACATCCAGAATCAAAAGTCCTTTGTCATTTAAAGCTCTTCGTAATCTGGTCACGTACTACCTTCCTCTTCTTATACTCCACCTCACTCCACACATTCTACAATCCAGCCATCATACTCTACTTGCTTTTCTTCTCATAGGGCACTCCAGCTCCTGTTTGCATGATTCAGCAATATCTTTTCCCCATGCCTAGGATACTGCCCTTTCCTGTACCCAACTCTTGAAATTCTTGGTTTCCTTAGGAATTACCTTGTACAGGAGGTCTTTCCTGGTCCCTCCCCTCTAGTAGCCATTGCCTCTAAGGTTAGCTTCCATCTATTCTTTGTATTTTGAATATATACATGCATATATATATATATATATATATATATATATATATATATGTAGTCTCTCATATTTGAATATAAGCTCTTTGAAGACAGAGACCGTTTTTTGCTTTTTATTGGCATAGTGCTTGGTACACAGCAAGGACTTAATAAATGCTTGCTGATTGATTAATTGATTGTTTTATTGATGCTTTATTGTTTATAATGGGCTCAAGGTCTAGCATCTAGTATATGAATGATCCATAACTTCCAGGGCTTGATAGCCATTGTCACTAATAATACTAATAAACTTCAATAGATGTGCTGGTGAACCACTCGGAGGACCCCAGTCTTCCCCACTCTTCAAACTGAGAACTACTGCTTTAGAAGGAAGAGGCACTCATTGTCGGAGTGTGAAACAGACCGTACAAATAGAATATCGATTTGATAAGCTTTGCTAATAGAAAAGCTCAGGTATACTAAGGATTTTTTATTTGTCATTGCTAAATGTATAATCTAGTAGTTTGTTTCTAAAAATGTTTAATGATGCACTAAAAAAAATTCAGCATCACATCTATCCTCCCCCCCTCCGCCATATTCCCCCAGCCATCCCCATGCCTCAGATGTCTAGAATTCTTCTATCAACAGCTCTGTCACCCAAGGTCCTATCTGCCTTCCTCCTAACCCAGAAAGACATAATATAATTCTAAAATGTACCAGCAGATGTGAAACTTTTTGAAATATTCTTCTTGTGTCAATGATTTGTCAATAAATATAGCAAAATCAGTACATACTCACTGGAAAAAAAAAGCCATTGAGGAAAACAAGAAACAAAATTAACTTTTGGATGATTTGGTCATTTTCAGGAACTGGATTAGAAATATCACTATCAAAAACAGTTAGTAAAAACCCTCCTAAGTAAATCCCACAAAAGAGGGTCTACACTTAGCATTGAAAGTGCCAGGAGAGATTATAGGTGTAGCTCCTTATCAGCAAAAAGGCTGATTAGAAGTATCTTTTTTTTTTTTGGACATGGGAGGAGGGCCTGAAGGATCATGGGGGGTTTGTTCTGGACGGAGAGGAGAATGGTGCTGGGTGATTGTACACCAATGGTGAGCCTGGTTGCTACCCTGAATTGAATATAATTATGAGCAGTTGGAACGTTGTCTGCTTTATCAGCCCACTTAACAAGTAATCTACTTGCACAGACTTTGCCATTTGCCTGGTGTACCTGTTTGTTGCTCTGCTGGACAATAAGCTTCAGTTTGTTCCCTCTCTACTCTATCTCACCTACCTTGTAGCTGCCAGACGAACTCTCATTGAAATGCTCAGGTATTTCTTGCTCATTTAAACTTTGTTTATTAACATCTGTACTTAGGGGTTTTGTTTCCAGATGAGATGATTTTTGTGTCATTCACAGACAGATTTTTGCTATAAAGGAGTGGACTACTGAAGGGAAAAAAAGTCAGAATTGACACAGACTTACCCATGAACCCATATTAGACTCCCTCACTGACTGCCCAAAGGAGGGCCTCACGAGTCCTGCCATGGCCCAAGAAGAATATTCTATTGTTACACATTGGCATTTAATTAATACCTGCAGAGTTCCCAATCTATGCAAATCTATACAAAGGCTATACTAATCTATACAAATATGATCATCATAGTACTGTGGGGAATAATAATGATTAAAAAAAAGATGAAGTTCCTGACCTTGGTAGGTTAAAATCTAGTAGAGGCGACTTCTGGTCAAAATGGCAACATAGAACAGAACGGCCAAATTCTCATATGCATACTCCAGAAAAAGATAAAACCAAAGAGCTCTAGACTGAATAATGATTAGGAAATAGAGAAACTATAATAACTACCTTCATCCTGTCTACAAAAGAAAAAGGGAATACTTGAAAATCTATGGGTACCTAGTAGGGGCTGTCCAGAGAGAGGAGGCATGGTATGGCAGGCACAGCCCTGGGAGCCATCCAAATTCTCACAGCCTCAGAGTACTCTAGCCTGGAGGCCTCAGGGCAGTCAAGCAGGCCTAGCCTGAAAACGGGAGGCTCCAGCAGGAAGGCCCCACAGATCACAAATCAGGATGGGAGAAGACAAAATGGGCAGTTCTCCTTTGGAGAAGGCAATAATCAACCTGAGTGCCCTGTGGCATTCAGTCTCTGAAAGTTTGCAACCCCAGAACTGAACCAACCCTGATAGCCTTAAAGAACTCAGTAAATGCTGATCCATAGGTATACTTTCTTTGCTATAAAATCTTCATCTCCAATTCTCACACATTGGTAAGCTCCCTTGCAGGAGTTACCTGTGGTTTTTCACAAGCCAAAAGTCAGAGCATGGCTGGATTTCCTTGTGGCCATCTTATACTTAGGTGATGAGGGAGAAATATAAGCCTAAGCCTAGAGGATGATATCAATGTTGTTCAGTCATTTTCAGTCATGTTTGACTCTTTGTGAGTCAGCAAAGATGCTAGAGTGGTTTGCCATTTCCTTCTCCAGCTCATTTTACAGATGAGGAAACTGAGGCAAACAGGGGTAAGTGACTTGCTTAGGGTCACACAACTAGTAAGTGACTGAGGCCAGATTTGAACTGAGGAAGATGACTCCTGGCCTGACACTCTACCCACTACATCACCTAGCTGCTCTGCAGCATCAATATATTTAAGGAAAAACTAGAATAATTTATATGGAGGGGATGGAGAAATATAGTTTGGATAATACTCTTACCACACCTAGACATAAATAGACTGCATTATATTATCAACAGTCACTTTCCTGTAAGGAATGGCATAAAAGACATCATGTGGGAAATATATGATTAGAAAAGAAGGTGGCCTCTACATAGCGAAAGCTATTGACTCAGAGCCTGAATCCTGCTCTGCTGCTTAAGAAACATCAAAAGGCCTAGATGAAGACATCTATTATATTGAGCAGATCTTCTCTGGAGCATTTCTATAAGGATAGGGACAAGAATCACTCAGGGTGAAATGGTGTGGATGCACTGTGGGGTAGACTGTTGGAGAGAGTACCTCTATTAATGAGATAACAGACCCATTGATATGTAAGTAGAGGAGGCAAGAGGAGATAACTGAAATGAGCTGAGTGGTGGATCTAGAGACAAAGGATCTGGGTATGAATCTCTACTCTGACACTTGACGTTGGAGAACCCAAGGTGTCAATATTATTATCACTAACATAAGGCCATATCTGAAGGAAGATATGAAGGTTCCCTAAGGAACTTTCCAGTTTTAAAATCTTATGATAG